AAGAGTAATTATGAAAAATTATTTTGTGAGATTCTAGTAAAATGTTCAAAGTTGGTCAGTCTGGTTTAGGAAGATTTACAATGTAGATGCTTTTTTTTACAACTTTTTTTTTTTGCAACTAAATGTAGATCATAACTGAATGGTGGGGATTTGTAATATATTTTCTATGTTTTGTTGAAAAATATGATACGAATTTAATACTCCTCTAATATTGATAATACATAATTTTAGTGTGAGGCATGAGAAAATTTATAGCTTTCATAACTGAGTACTCAACTATCAGAAAGTAAATAAATATAAGCAAGAAGTAAGAAAAAGTAAATACAAGTTATAACCTTTCTATTCAGGAAGAAAAAGCAAACTACCATGACCCTGTGGGTTTGGTCCTACTTTTACATCATTGCCAAAAGCATTTAAACCTCTGCCAATAGTTAGCTCCACAGAAATTTTCATGGCTAAGAAAAAAGACAAAAATCATGTACTTATTCATAGAAATAGTTGAAAAATCTTAGCTGTGACAGTGATAGGAATGTTTATTTTCATAGGGAATATTAATAATCTCTAAAGAGCCTGTTTATGTATGTAGTGGGGTGTGTGTTTGTGTGTATGTATGAAACTAATAATATTATATATTTCTTTCATGGTAGTATAAACATTCAGTGCAGGAAACTTAAGTATTTATATACTTTTTAGATTTAAAAATTGTTTAGCTCCTGCTGCACACCCAGAATATGTTAACAAAAATAAGTGTAAAGGTATATTATATCAGACTTTATTTTTCGCAATTATGTTTATAAAATCCCGTCTGGAAGGTCTTTTCTCTCTCTCGTAGATAAATAAGCCAACAATCAGAGGATGTTTTCAACTACAGATGCTAGGTGACATTTAGTAATTTATAGTTAGACAGCATAAATGTAACTTTACTGTAATTAAAACCATTATATGGTTCTCAGAATACTTAACCTATCTTGTAAAATGTGAATGAAAGATTTTATCTGAATATAAATTTTAAAGTAAGAGACAGGAAAATTCTCCATGTGATCTCACAGATTGAGGAGGTAAGTAATCAAAATTGTTCTCCAGGAAGATTTGCCTTTATAGAAGTGGGAAAGTGGCTTCCAGAAGATTTGCATTAGTAGAACTTTTCTGGGAATTAGGGCAACATTTGTTTCACAGCTGTTGGGAGTTCCACTGCCCTAGCAGCCAACTGTGATCAGCTGAAATGGCGGTGAGAAGTTCAATAGCTGCTGCTTGTGCTGATTTTGCTTCAACTTGCACCAAATTTGCACAATAAGGTGGAAATCAGTAGTAAAATAGAATTGGATGTAAAGAAATTCAGTGTCAGCTTTAACTGATTATATATTAACCATAAAAAATTGTGCAATGTATGTATAATTTCCTGAAAATTGCCCTGCTAGATCTAAACTGCCAGTGACTTTTTAGTTCAAAATCTGTAGACACAGCTGATATTCAATCAAACTTGGGAGTTAATATGTCTGTTCCTGTTGGCAATGGGCTGCTGTCCTGCTCCACTGGGAGTCCCTTGCTGTGCAGCCATCACAACCTCCATAACCTCATCCAGGACCTGAGGACCATTCCATTATCCATAACCAGAGAGTGATGGTCTGGCACAGAAAGTGCCACGGCTGGCTATTGTATAGGGCCAATGTGTTATTACTTGTTAATTATTTTAAATTTAGTCACATTCTACTGATTTTATATTATTATTATTTCTTTTTCATAATATTCTTTCTTATATGTATCAAAACTCATACTGAACAATGAGTTCTGGGTTGCAAAAGAGGATTTTATTACTTCTCTAGAAACCAACTTAATGGCGTTAGAAAATTTTACATGATACTTAAAGCTGTCTTATGAATTTAGTTAGAATACTACCTTAATTTTATAAATGAGTTAATTCATATCACCATTTTTGTATGTTCTCCATGGATAAATCTGTGTTGTATTCATTTTTAATATATCAAAGATAATGAACAGTGATGTTTTAGCATATACATAATACCTAGACATCCTCTGAATGTGTGCTGGCTTTATTACATAGAAATGCTTCTTACTCATTAAAACATCTGGCTATCCTGTTTTTTTTTTTTTTTAATTTGACATCTTGAAAAACAATCCTGTTGAACAAATTTAACATTTCAAAAGTGCTGGAATCCAAGTCTGAAAATTCTTGGAGTGAAAAATTGAACAAATTGAAAACATAAGAAAATAAGTTATATTTGGGAACTTAGAAATATGTAAAGGTTGTATTAGATAAAATTGGAAACAGAGCTTGCTTCTAAAATACAGGTATAAAAATTGTAGACTTAATGGTATTGTTAGAATATTACCAGGGACAACCACTTCAAACAATGAAATCATCACAAAACCTAATAATACATTAGGAAAAATAATTAAAAATAATGTATTAATTATATTAGAGTTAACCATTGGAACTTCCATGATTATTTCTCCAAGGTTATTTATTTTCAAAATGATTTTTCCTCTTGAACTCTTTTTAACTCATTTTCCATTGTCGTTCACACTATCATGTTATTTTTTATTAACTATTTGGGAAGTCAGTTAATTTTTTTTTAATTTATTTTATTTTTTGTTTCTCCTGTGTCCTGGTCACACTTAATGAGGCAGAGGGGACAACTGTTGTCTTGCTTGCATTACTGGATCCACTATTGTATTAGTTGTGTCATTAATTACTAATTCGGAAGGGGGCAAGAGGTATAGTACACTGGCTCATTGGTGTGCTATAATTAAAGTACAAAACTTTAATGCTTAATTGTTTTCCAGTGTTGAACTATTATACAATAACACCCCCCAATCTCTGATTATTGACATGTTTCTTAGTAGGCTATAAAATTAAATATGTAGTAGAAAAATGCCTTCAATCTCAACAAGAATAATGTTTATGGAGATGAATCATAAGAAAACAGCAAAGCTATTTGTTAAATTTCTTAGCATAAAGTGATTTGACTTAATTTTACAGAAAATATGGATGGTTTGTTTTCCAAGGTCAAACCTAAGCTATAATCAGAGCAAGACTAAAAGAAATGGAGGATATGGAAAGCAATTTGAGGATAAGGGATAGCAACAAAGAGGGATTCTTGTCAGTTGAGAGCAGAAATCAGAGTTGGACAAAAGAAGAAGCCAATGAAAACCAAAGCAAGATAGCATGATCACTGTGGAGATTATCTCTATAATTTTGGCACAATTTTAAGAGTCTTTTTAAAAATCAAACTTATTTTCCATATATTTAAGAATTCACAGATGTTGTTAGAGCAGAATTCCATTAAGAGTTCTCAAGAATTATTTTAAGCATTATTCTGCTTAATGTCTTTAAATAAATTTATTTTCAATATACTGTATATAGTGATTTTTAAAGTCAAAAATATCCAGACAAACTGAATGCTAAAACTTACAAAAACTTTTTAAAATTACATTTTAAACTTCCCTTCCAAATCCAGAATATTTTATGTGTTTATTCATAGATTTTGGACATTTGGTTGGTCCCAATCTTTATTCCCAAAGAAATATATAATAAAACCACCAATAGTTAAGATTAATAACAAGGAAAGGTGAATATAAATCAATTTGGCTTTAAATTTAATAAAGCTTGCATTAGGGAAGATTTAAAAATACAATGTTATTACTTTCAAACTGATAAAGGAACTAACTTTAGTTTAATAGAGCATTTTTAAGGTTAAATTTGAAGAAGTCATTGTTATTTAGTATGTATTTAATATATAAATAGAGCCTCTAAAATGGACAAATACATTTTTCTCAAGTTTGCTGCTTCTTAAGTCTCGAATATTGTAAGTAGGTTATATTTGTCACCTTATTAGTTTTGAGCTAATCATTTAACTGCCTTTGAAATACAAGTCTGGCCAGGTTTCAACCTCACCTCATCTCTATCCAAATTGTCAGAAATTGACGATCATTAGCCATTGATGAGATTTTACTAGCACCTTTATCGGATGATGTGTTTGTTCCAAACTGTTCTTTAAGACATTGGATTTTTCTTTTTATATTTAAAATGCATTCCTTTTTTAAGTACTTTATTCTTTAAGTTGATATTTGAGAAATTTCATTTGGAATTATGACTTATCCAGCTTGTCTCTGTAAAATGAGAGAAGACATTGCCCAGGGATTAGAGTTCATGCACAATATGTCCCCCCAAAACAGAAACTACTCAATTGGTAGTGATTGGCAGTGATATTTTTTAAAAATAGTACTCTAGACATCTATCTGTCATGTCTGATGCAATATTATTTTTCATTTCTACAATTGTCTTTATTTTGACTTCTATTAACTTTTAATTTTAATAGATTTGCTCTCAGATATACAAAATGAAAGCAAGTATTTATGCTTTGAATTTGCCACTTTGCATCTTCTTTAGAACACCTTGTGTAAAATTATTTTGTGTTACTTGTTTTTAATAATTAAATTCCTTTGTGAGTTCTTCTTCTTTCATAACTTTGACCTTTTAACTAACTTTTCTGTATACACCTGAAATTCCTTTAGCTACTTTCACTTGCTATGATAATTGGTTTATAAAATCTATGCCAGAAGAAGAATTATGACTTCCCCTTAACAAACATTTCCTTGAAGTACTGGGTTTAAAAGTTTATGTTCCATGTTGACTAGTGAATCAATTTACTTTTACAAATTGAAAGTAATAGGCTAGAAAATAAACTTTACAAAATGATTCAATGGGAGAAGCATTCTTGATAGTCTGTTTCCTGCTTTGAGTGGTTCTTTAATTTTTTTTCAAACATATTCCTCTTTATTGATAACTGTGGGGTCTTTTCCTTTGTCTTTTCCATACATTCTTTTTTTTTTATTGTCCATGTGTGCTTTATTTTTTTATTATTATTTCAGCATATTATGGGAGTACAAATGTTTAGGTTACCTATGTTGCCTTTCCTCCCCTTCTGGTAGTGCTATGAATATAGCTCAGATTACCAATATATGAACATTTTTTTCAGGTCAAAAGGTGTGTTTTGCTGATGTCAAGCATCCCTGTTACAAAATGGCCTATTTCCATGAGCTGTCCAGCCGAGTGAGCTTCCAGGAGGCACGCCTGGCCTGTGAAAGTGAGGGAGGAGTTCTCCTCAGCCTTGAGAATGAAGCAGAACAGAAGTTAATAGAGAGCATGTTGCAAAACCTGACAAAGCCTGGAACAGGGATTTCTGATGGTGACTTCTGGATAGGGCTTTGGAGAAATGGAGATGGACAAACATCTGGTGCCTGCCCAGATCTCTACCAGTGGTCTGATGGAAGCAGTTCCCAGTACCGGTGAGTCCATATCTTGAGCAGTGGTGCTCTGGGGGACTCCACAGGGTAAAGGGAGGGTTCTGTTAACCTGTAGAAGATGTCATAAGAAAACAGACTCACTTAGAAAAAATGCATCTAAGGGTTCTTCTTGCTCTCTATTCGCAGAAACTGGTACACGGATGAACCTTCCTGTGGAAGTGAAAAGTGTGTTGTGATGTATCATCAACCAACTGCCAATCCTGGCCTTGGGGGTCCCTACCTTTACCAGTGGAATGACGACAGGTGCAATATGAAGCACAATTACATTTGCAAGTATGAACCAGGTAAGAAGTATTGTAAGTAGGCATAGCAGATTTTAAGCATGTTTGCTAATATTAGGTTTTATCTTTAAGCTTCACTACCTTGGGCTCTTTTATTTTTCTTCTATGAAACATGAAATTACCTTGCAGCTGATCATATCTCTCAGTATACTGAAGCACATTGTATGCTGTAGTGCTAACTGCCCAGTGAGCTTAATAGAGTGGAGTAAATAGAAACATCTGGAGAGATGTCTTTAAGAAAAATAATTTCTAATATTAAGACCAAACTGTGTTTTTGTAAACAGATTTTATGAACAGGAAATATCTTTTTAAAAATATTTTAAACAGTTAGTGTAAGTGGTTATAAGTCACCAAAGTACATATTATAGACTTATACCTGTGGACAATGGTTCTTTAGATGATTATCTGGTGAATTTAAGGGAACAAAGCAACTTCTGCCTGGATCATTAGCTTATCATTTCATGGCATAATACTTGGCATGTGATCCTCAGTGAAAATTAGAATGATCATAGCTCATTGCACCACAGTGGAAAAAAGTAGAGGCATGTGACGCATCCTTCCTATAACCCTTATTCTTGAAATATGCCTCATTAGTTTTCTTTTGAAAACTCCAACTTCTTGCCATATGCAGAAAATGGGAAGATCACATTGACCTCAGCTATACTAATGTGGTTTCCTGTTGAAAAGAGTAAATTTGAATTACTTTGAGGAGGATAGCTCAACTGAATTGATGTTTGACCGAAAGAGGAACTAATCAAAACTCCATAGAATCACTTTTTTAAAAATCATCTGAGAAAGCCAAGTTAGATCCTTAGGCTTTGAGGTTTTTTTGTTGTTTCTCTCCTCCTCAGTGTTGGGAAGTGTCATTTTAACTCTTCTGAAGGACTGTCTGCTTGACCTCATAATATGTGTTCACGGAAGGCAATTATAATTGAGTACTGCCGCTTCCTTTATTCTCTTGAAATTACATGATTCTTTTTCTCATAAAACTATAAAGCATAGGGATTATTTGGATTAGACTTACCCTTCTCTTATATTCATCCTGCTCTTGGGTATATTAGCCAACTTTTTATATCCCTGGTGAATTTATTCTTTAACCCCCTTGGTTGCTAAACCCATCATTATCCTCCTGGAAGCCTTTGTAAAGCTAAGTCTGTTTTGCACTTAGGTTCTTTCTCTTTATTTTTCTCCTGGAAAATATAAAGTTGAAATTTTATGATATTTTAAATTTGTGACACTCTATATACTTAAAACTATTGAATGAAACAAAGACTATATTATAGATTATTCTTATTATATTACTGTTTCCTTTCTTTTGAGTTCTTGGATCAATTATTTGACACTTTTTTAAATTTAATTTAATTTAATTTTACTTGTTTACATTCAAACTTACCCCATTATTTAAGACACTATCGACCTTATATTTTTTTTGTTTTGTATCAGGTAATTTAAATTTCTATTACTCCGGTAAAACCATTTAAGACATAAAATAAATTTTTTCTTTATTTTTTACATTCTTCCCAAATCCTCAAGTAATCTATATTTATTAAAAGATGCCTTTATCTTGTTGTCATTGTTTGGACACATATGCACAGCTTTATAGTTGGCCTTACAATCTGCTCAGGATTTTTATTTTTTATTTCACTTTTTAATTTATCTTTAATGTTATATTTTTCTGTTAAGTTAACCTTCCTCGAGCTTAGTGTCTGTTTTGTGAAGGATATTGATGGTTTGATTAAATTCTCTGGTTGTCTTTAGTGATAGATAAGGAGGTTAGAGAACTAAGGAGAATAGCTAATTAAAATTTATAAATTGTAACACTGATTATTATGAATTATTATTTTCTAACTTTGCTATAACTACTATGTGATTTGAACTTTGGCTTATCTTTCTGCTTCTACATGCCATCTAAGAGCATGTCCAATGACGTCTAAAGTGGTAAAACATTAGCCTTGCAATGCAGAAACTGAATAATTTAAGTTTTCTTAGTCTCCTGTCTCCCTTTTTTGTTATTGACATGTGAGTTACAAATCTATTCTTTGGGTCTACCAATGTCACCCCAAGACATTTTCATGGAGATACTTCTGAATCTAATCTTCTACTTCTGATGGCCTGTCATCAGCACAGACCCTCTGTTGATTGCTCAATGCAATTTAAGGTTGCAGGGAGATTTCACCGAGTAAATCATTTATTCAAAGATAATTAAATGTTGACTTTGTAGTTAGATCATTTCAGGTAAATTTAAATTCAGAACATATTTTATTAGCTGTAAACTGTTCAAAAATCAAAATCATAGTGTTTTTATTGTTTTATAATAAACTATTATTATCTATGTTTACGTATGTCTTGTGTAATCATTATAAATGATGCCTGTACTTATTATTTACAGAGATTAATCCAACAGCCCCTGTAGAAAAGCCTTATCTTACAAACCAACCAGGAGACACCCATCAAAATGTGGTTGTTACTGAAGCAGGTAATTAGTTCATATATGTCTTTAACTCCTATTAAGAACAGAATTGTACTTTCAAATGCTCCTTCACATTGACTCCAGTGAAACTTTTCTTCAAGCTTGGGAGAGTGGTGCACTAAATATGGGCCTATGGAAATTTTCTTTTGAACTAGATGAGAAAACTAGTTCTTTTTTTTTTTTAAACATTAGAAGTTTATTTGTTGCTCATGTAACAATCTTGGCCAATTGTTCAGGTTTACAGTGCAGCTCTGTTCCACAAAGCCATTCAGGGACCTCTGAGCTCTTTCTATTTTACAGCTCCACCATCTCCTTAGGGCCTCCTTATCGTCTCTATCCAGAGAAAACTAGTTTTTGAATAGAAGAACCTGTTTTATTTTCTTCAGAGTTCAAGTAGAAGTTGATGTATCTGGTATTAAAGAGAGTGATTTAAACCTGGATTAATGAGGAACTTCCTCTACAACATGTAGGTGTCTGAGGCAAATCGACACATTCAGTGGCCTTTAACCAGTGATGTACTGGTAAATGTTTACAGATTGGCTGGGGTGGAGGAGGAGTATAAAATAAAAGGCCTGATTTGTAGCCTTTGCCAATTTTGATGGTATAAGTACTCCTACCCTGACCCATTTCAGGCTACCAAAGTGACCTGACTGAACAGCAGATTGGGAAGAGATGCATGCAGTGAGCTCTCAACCCAGCCACCGCCAGCACCCCACTGCCTGCAAAGGAAACAAAATGCAATCCCCAATGCAAATTGCATGTTAGAAACTGCTCTCAACAGCAGTGAGGGGCTCTTTTTAACATGGCCTGTAGCAATTGGACAGAAATGTTTATTCTAGTTACTTTGTGAAGATTGTATAAAAGACCTAAAGTCTCGGAATCTTTCCAAAGGTGATCTAAAATCCATGAAAGAATAGGAAATACTATCTATTTTTCTTTACTATTATATATTAGAGATCATGATGCCATTTTGAAGAGGAAGAGAAATATTTCCTGAGTTCTTAAAATGCTTGAAGTCACCTGTTGGAGGCTTAAAAGATTAGGTGAAAGCATAGCAAATTATCCCCCAAATACCCCATCACTGGACCTCATTAATTTTCCTTCTTTTGTTAACAAAGAAATACAATTAAGTGGATAGCTTGATCTATGCCCAATCCACTTTGACCAGAATTATTTAGTCATGATGATGACTTTTAATTTTCAAATTAAGTGCATAATCTTCAATTTGCTTTTCTTGTGTAGACATGACATTAAGACTTAGGACTTTTCAGGCACCTGATTTTCACATCTAACTAAACCTAATAAAAGGTATCAGTAAATAATTACATTAGGAATATTTTCCCTCTTATTACATTGAAAAAAATGCTTAATAAAGTCATTTTAAACTGTATGGGATTTCAGTGTTGCAGTTTTTTTTTATTTTACTAAGAATACCTAACATTATTATTTTGTGTGTGATAGAACAGAATTAAAAAATGATTCATTTTAGAATTTAATTAAGAGCAAGTCTTGTGTGTCTGGAGTCTTGTGTCTCTGGGTTATGACTGTAATATTTACATATTTAACATCAGTTAATATTTACATATTTCAGTTTAATCCCAGGACTCTTGAATATCATCACAGCACTCAGCTTATTGGTTAGGATAATTATTTATTCAATAAGTCAACAATGATTTTAATAATCATTATTCTTTAATAATCAGTGCTTGTTTCTCTAAGTAATGTTGAAAAGGATTAATGAAGTGAGATAGCTAAGATCATTAATATATTATGAAAATAGCCCATGTCTCAATTGTAGATTTAATAATATTTTTTAAATTATGGTTATTGAATTGGAACATGACAACCAGTGCAGTACAATTTTGTTTTTAATTTTTAAGTTTTACCAAACCATGAATACAGTCATAACATCACTTAGCAACAGGGATACATTCTGAGAAATGCATTGTTAAGAGATTTTGTGGTTGTGTGAATATCATAAAGTGTACTTACACAACCCTAGATGGTATAGCCCACAACACCTTGGCTATATGGTATAGCCTATTGTTCCTAGGCTACACACCTGTACAGCATATTACTGCACTGAATACTGTACGCAATTGTAACAAAATGGTAAGTATTTGTGTATAAACATATCTAAACATAGAAAAGGTACAGTAGAGACATCTATATAGGGCAGCCCCATTATAATCTTATGGGACCACTGTTGCACATGCAATCCATCATTGACTGAAATGTCATATGTGGCACATGACTGTATATTGTTTCATTAGATTTTTCAGTATTTTATGAAGAAACTTGTTTGGAATCTATTGATAATAATTCCATTTTACCTTAATTTTTTTGAAAATTCTTACAGATTTTTTGGTGATAGAATCCTTCCTCAACTAACTGCACACTAAAGCTGTTTTACTTTTATAGGCATAATTCCCAATCTAATTTATGTTGTTATACCAACGATACCACTGCTCTTACTGATACTAGTTGCTTTTGGAACCTGCTGTTTCCAGATGCTACATAAAAGGTAAATAATTTATATATGTAGAGACAACTTGAAAATACTTTAAATAGTATATTATATTTATTCAAAGTCTAGCAGGCTTTCAGAAATCTTTAATTAGTATAAAATTAATTATATTTTTAACTTGCCTTAAGAAGTTTCTGATTTTCATGTCTGTCAGTACAAATCAAGTAGATGCAATCTAATAAAATATACCTTGATTATAGAATTCATGTAGTATTTCATTTAATTCTCACAAGACTTATGAAGCAGGTTTCCTTCTGTTTCTATTTTTTCAGCTGAGAAGATGGTGACTTAGATGGGTTACTTAATCTGCCTTTGGTCCCATAGCTAGTGGGATGGAAGGATTGAAGTTGGTGGATTTGAAATTTGAATGCTTATAAGCTTACAACATACACACTGTTCTTGTTTATTGAGTATAAGAATTAGTGCTAGGCCTTTCAATGTAGATGTCAAGCTATGTGTAAGACTTGATTTTTGTAGGTGTATTTTGTAATACCTTTTTCAAATTCAAGACATAGGCTTCTGTTTTATTTCAAAAGAATCTTTTAAGATTAGGAAATAAAGTGCAGTAGTAAAAATAGGTCACTTTTTGATAGATATCTTGAAATGAAGTGTTATATCTTAACAGCAAGACTTCTGGGGAATATTATGACTTTTATATCTGCTACCCTTTCCCCTTGAGTTAGAGAGGTGAAGTTTTTCCACATATGTCAATTTGTCAATTAAATAAAAATATGAAATATAAATATGTGTTAAAATGAAAAAGAAAAGATATTGGGTTTAAATAGGAGCATGTTTGCTAGAATAAGCTAAAGATCTTGGAGTATTTTCTTATAAAATAAGAACTGATCAAGAGATTGTCTCTATCAGGGGAAGATGTGCAAATGAATTCATTTTTCTCTTTTGACTTCATCTTCTTTTTTTTCTTAAATAAATCCTAAATAACCCACCAAGCAATGAAAGCCCTAGAAAAAAAAGTCAAATACATGTAAGCTCTAAATTTCTCACATAAATTTTTAAGAGGATCCAACCTGTAATTAACTAGAGATTAATATAAAACCTTTTGAATAACGATAAATAAAGCCTGGCAAATTAATACTGTACTTTGTGTTCTCTTGGCTTTCCTATATATGTGGACCATAGTCAAAGTTTCTTTTTCAATATTTTGTATAGAATAAAGACAATAGTAAATATTTAGTTTCTTGCCCTAATTCTTTAGACTTTAGATAGATGATTTATCATTATGGAAAGCAGTGAAGTAGAGGGGAAGATCTGATATAAATCCTTCATCCAGCCAAACTTTTAAGGAAGATCTGTAAGCAGCAAATTGGCTTGAAAAAATGATTTATTAATAAACATATTATTTAGACATTCTCATTTATAAAGTGAAAATTACAAAACTGCCAAACAATTGAATTTTCTCTAAACTTTGTTTCCTTTCTTCCAAATCATGTATTATTGTGGTGATTCTATTTATTCAGAATCTCCCAAGTTTTTACAGCTTGAAGATCTGTGGAGTTTTCACGTGTTTGAACTTCTCAGAATGAGACAATAAACCAAAATAGAGCACCTTCCATATGCCGGAATTAGCTGTAGTCCTGAATTCATTTGTTCTTAGACCCTCCCCTTTTCCTTTCTTCCAGGAAAGCCAGGAGAAACTTCATCAAAGACTCAACTCCATTATCATCTGAGTGCCTTGCAGAAAGTTTAAATTCCAATCTGGTACACATGATGGCTTCTCTCATTCCATGTCATGTCCAAAATAACTCTTATTTCCCTAACTGGTAGTAATTCTTATGTGAAATACTAATTCTACACAAAAAACAAGTTAACAATTAACCCCTTTATTTTTTTAACATTTAAAAAATGTACCTTTTATAAACCTTGCTTGCTTTATTTTACATTCACGTTAAATGACTTTGTAGAATAAAGTTATTTCGAACTTGCTTATTTGGATGAAAATCTACCAAGCATACAATATGGACATAATATTTTATTAGTGTAAAAACAGTAATATTGAAGTGAATTAAATAATATTGTCAACTTGCAATGGTCAGGTGTGTTTAGAAATAGTTCTCTTCTCTCTTTAAAGGAGTTCTGCAATGTGTGGTGGATGGAGAGGAGGGGATGGGAAGATTCCTGTGGAGATTTGGGCAGATGCTGGCAATTGGGGCTGGGGGGGGTAGGGGAGGAGGTGAGTGTAGGGCACAGTGAACATGACAGGCAAAGAATAGTGCTCCAGGTGAGAGGTTATCCTCAGGAAATTAGACCAGAGAAATCTAGAACTTGACAAGGAATCTGCCAGAGGATAACTTGAGTAAACTCAAGAATAGATACTTCTGTAGGTGCCTGAAAAGTGACCATTTTATGGAAAGACAGAAGACAGCTGAGCCCCAGGCACAAGCTGGAAAGGTGGGCCAGAATTCAAGGTCTGGCAAGAGTGAAGTCATATCACACATCTGGAGGAACTCAGATATTCCCAAATTACCAAAGCATGAATCTGCTATTGAATTATACTGGTTTCACAGACTGAGGCAAAACTAAGCTTTCAGGGACCAAGTGACTTTAAGTATAAGACAGTAAAATGATTGGAAGGAGGGGTATAAGCCTATCCTTACACTTAGTATAATAGCATTGGTTTGATTATTTTACATTTAATTATTCATACATTAGTGGCAGTATATTCAAAAAGCAAGATTTAAAAAAAATCATTGATCAAAGAAAATAAAGGTTTATTGGTGAATAACATGGAAATTTTAAATATTGTGTCAGACACATTTTTGTGTGTATCTGAAGTCTGAATTATGAAGAGTCAAACATGGAAAGATACATTTTGTTTGCTTCATCATTCATAAGAACTGTATGCCATCTTCATACATTGTAATAATCTAGAATTTTTTATAGGAATGGAAAAATATGCTGGTGAGAGAAGAGAGGCCCTTTTAAAAATAAGTGTCTAAGATATCTCCATTTGGACCAAGACATGCCTACCAGTTTGATAAGAAGTTTTAGGCACTGAATTTATTTTTTCTTGTTTTTCAGTAAAGGAAGAACAAAAACTAGCCCAAACCAGTCCACATTGTGGATTTCAAAGAGCACCAGAAAGGAAAGTGGCATGGAAGTGTAATAATTCATTGATTTGGCTCCTGAAATGAAAATACAATTTTATAATTCTGGATCTGTATAAGGAACGGCATCAGAACATTAGCTTGGAATGGCTTGAAACCTCAAAGGATCTTCAAGATGAACTGTAAGCTCCCCCTTGAGGCAAATATTAAAATAATTTTATATGTTTATTATTTCATTTACAAAATATGCTGTGCTAATAATGGAGTGAGACATGCTTATTTTGCTAAAGGATGCACCCAGACTTTGAGTAAATGGAATGGACCATGCAGGTAAAATTGCTATCAACACATCAGGAGTATGTGTATTGAAAGCAGTTATTTTCTTTTCTCTCACCTTTCATAAGTTGTAATCTAGTTAATGTAATGTAAATTGTATTGAAATCTACAGTGTGCAAAATATTTTACCTTTGCATAAGTGTTTGATAAAAATGGACTGTTCTAATATTTATTTTTATGGTGTTTCATTTTTCAGTACATACTGTTTTGATTAAAGAAATTTATTACTGTTGTCATCTGACTCCACACACACAAATATATTACCATAGAAAAAGTTTCTTTTCAAGAAATGGTTCGTCATCTTTCAGCTTCTCTGCTTTTGGTCAGTGAATGTTTAGGAAACCTCTTCAGAAATAAGAAGCTATTTCATTAACTGTGGTACAAATTTCCTCAAACATTTTACGTACAGGCAAGAATTGTCCAATTTCAATTGTGCAAGACATGTGCCTTACAATTATTTTTAGTTTAAAATTCAACAGATTTTGTAATAAGATAACTTTATTAATGCTGTACAAACAATGATGCAGTCTATCTGAACAAAAGAAGTGGCATATACAGTATAAATCATATGTCTTCACATGTTGCCTATATAACTACAAGCAGCTCTCTGAGGGTCCTAAAATCAATGTGGTCCCTCTCTTGCTCACAAAACATAAATGGTGGTTTGGGGTTTGGGATTGACCCTGGAGGCAGATAGTCGCAGAGGTTGTCAAAGTTTTCCCTAGCTGCGTTTAGCCTCTAAATATATTAGTAGATGGTGAAGTCTTACAGTTGGGACCAGGTAATGGTCAACATCAGTGTGGAGCTAAGCACAGTACACTGACAATTCAGGAAGGAAAGAAACCATGAATTCATGTGAAAATGGGTTGGAGTCCTTCAATGGTTGAATATTCGTTGGTGAGGGTTTGCTTTAGATAGTAAATGGCAGCTCCTTTCTGTCTTATCTCCTTCTAGTGTCTTCAATGCCTGTGTCTTGTTCTTTGCAAGAAAGAGTTGTAACTATCTGGTCTTCAAATGTCCCTGTGCTCCTTTTAACCAAATAAAGAGTTCTTGTTTCTGAAGAATGATCATTGGTATTGTCTAAATCTCTTATGTGAATGAAGCAGATATGTTAGCATCAATGCATTAAGTTGAGAACAAATACTCTTCAAGTGTGGTAAGAATGAAAGGTGCGGTTATATCTAATCTTTTCCCTGGCAACCCTTTTCAGTAAGATAATAAAATGTTTGCATGCCAATTCACAACCAGAGTTGGTTGGCAAAGCAAAGAGGCAAAATAGGCATCAATGAGCATTAGTCCCCTTTCAGCTGTTTAGAGATGGAGAGAATGAGCAGCTACATTCAAAGCTGAGATTTTCCTACATGTAGCTCTCTTCTTTCTTTTCTTGGCTATGTTTCTGGATAGAACAGGAGACCAGCTGCTGGAATCTATTGTTTTCCCTCTAAGGTACCACCATGCACTTCTTCCTTTAGTCAGGACTTAATGGAAGGAATGTAGGCATTCCCCTTTGTCTCTGCCACGTGGGGCTATAACAGCTCCAAGAAGCAAAGCAATGGAGAAACACTTCGGTTTTGTCTTTTATCTCTATCCTGGTGTGGGTAACTCTTCTAGTATCAAAGACTAAACCCATAAGCAACTAGGAGTAGAACAAAGAACTCTCTTACTAGAAAATGGTAGTGATGCTGTCCTGAGTCCCATAAAATTTTGGATGACCTTTAAAAAAGGAAAAGGTGTACATGGTGTATCTGTTGGGAGCATATTTTTGGAACATATTTTTAATATATGTTTGGAGGTACAGATAAAATGCAAAACAATCTTCAGATACTGAAAAAAAAAAATAACAGCCTGCTCCTTCCCAACTGTTAGAATTAGGTTATTGGAAAGGTCTTAAAAAGAATAGCATGTTTAGGGGCTCCAATTTTTGTCCTAAGAATAAATTCTGCAATTCTTTACTATGATTTCCTTGTCCTCCATTATCTGGCCCCGCTTTCTTCATATGACATCCCTCCTCCTTTTTGACTATTTTAGAGAGTCTTTTGGTATAACACGATTCTCTACTGACCTCTCTCCCTTAACTTTTAGGATCACTCCCACCTGCACAGTGGGTCCCCAATAGCCTCTTCAATGTGTCAGTAATAATCATTCCTTCCAGGTGTAGCTCAACTCTCCTTTCTTTCTTAGGGCCAATGCATACTGATTGGTCCTTCTTTCAAGTTCTTTAAACCTTACTCTGTCTTCTAGTATATGGCTCATGAGAGACTATGTGCATACGTGTGTATGTTTTGTATTAACTAGGTATGAATTTTGTCTCCCCAAATCAATGGATTCTGTGGGGTAAGATAAGTTAAAGTTTGGAAATGATCCAAGAGATTAAAGAAGTGAAGCAAATTCATTTATTACACATTTTTGTCTTTCAAATGGCAATTCAGCTGTGCCTAAATAAGTTTTTCACATGTTAGAACTATCCGCTGTTACACACATCAACCAAGAAAAACATCTGTGATAGTTGAATTGCTTTGATATGTCTGATGTTTTGGAGACTTAAAAAATACTAGCTTGAAATAAATGGAAAATATGCATAATCTAGGTAAAAACTTATTTGATATAAAATGACCATATCAATTAATTTGCCTTTTATTTTGATGCTAGGATGATATATAGACTTATGCCTATTTCCTATTTAATTAGTTTATTTGAGAGTAATGTAAAACAAATTTAGTCCAGGTCTGTGACACGAGCTTACAGTAAATATTTTTTATGATTGGGGTAAATATTAAGGTTATGCTTAAGTTGAAACAAAAATGTGTTTGGATTAAAAGCAGGAAAACTATTTAGATTCTGATAATAGCAAGTTAAACTGGAACTAGACAATTTATAGCAGTTTATTTTAGACAATAACATACTTTGGACAAAAGAATTTATTTCACATTTTTTTCTAATTTTGCTCAAACTTTATTAAGTGTATGATGTGTGCTTTAAAATAACATCTCTTTAAATAAACAGAAAATGATAAAATGATTAAGGACAAACAGCATTTTATCTGTGAAGGAATAGTTATTCATAATGAAATCAAAATGCATTTTAAAGTTACTTTGTATTGCAAAGATTAGTTTTATTTTTGTTTGTTTTATTTCCCCCTAACATTTCGGTGGCTTAAGAATAAAGGCTTTTGGTAACTTCTTAATGTTTTTAAACAAAATTCTTAATTTCTATGCTTCTTAGAGTCGAATAGGAAAACTACCTGCCTTTCATATTTGGTTGAAGAAATGCTCTACTATAGAAAACCTTGTATCCATTCTGTGAACCTTGTGACCCGGACATACACCCCTGGGCGATTAGGCAGTGCACATTGGTATCCAAATGATGTCACACCAGCAAGGAACCATCTGTTGTTTTCTTGGCACATTAATGGTCCTCCTGAATCCCCCTAAAGAGTGAATTGCAAAATAAAATTGTAGATACATGGTCAATTGATATACATATATAAGATTATTTTTAGTGAGTCAATTCAAAAATAAATACTCAAAATATGATTTAATTGCAAGTCATCTGTATATTGTCTCACTTTCACTTTAGGTCATGAATGAGAACCCCTTTCTCCTCAGTAAGGAGACAAACTATGATAATGAAAACATAATTCATATTTTTTATGATGCACTTTTGTAGTAATAGTTTTCCCACTTTAATTATGACATTTAGATTGATACTAAGAAATTCTCTAAACAACTATGAAAAGCACCTCGATCAAAATATGTATTAAAAGTCAGTCATTTTAGATCTAAATATCATGAAGGACTTTGTAGAAAAGACAAAATTATTCCACAATATGCTCTTCAGAAAAATTAAAAACTCACACATAGCATTAATTTTAGTTCTTTTAGGTAGGATTAACTATTTGGCGCTCAACAAACACCAAAAGATTTGGAAAACTTAGCATTTCAACTGAAATAGGCAAATCTATGATGTAATTTCTAGTGATAGGAACACGTGTTTTCATCTGAGATTTCAAATGAAGAAATGTTTTTAATTTTCACGAACATTAATTACAGCAGATCCTAGCAGAATCAATTACATGAATTTTATTTGAACAACTTCTGTATAATGCAAAGATAATGCAGACATATAGTATCATTATTTAATGACACAAAATTGACAAGTATTCTCCCTGTATTAATTATGCAAATATTTTTAATTAATCTGTTTTTTATATTTATGAAGTTATTTTAACGCTTTCTATACTTTGTTTAAATCACTGGTATAATAGAATATTTCAAACCCAACTCAATTTTAGAAAATATCTTGTGAGACTTTTTGCCTGATTCTTTATCATCTTTGGGCACTATATTTAAGGAAAAACATGTGATCTATCAGAGTACCTTTATTCTCTTTGGTACTGGGGAACATAAATTGCATTGGCAACCACAGGTTATCGGTATTCTAGGTGTAACAAATGTGTTCAAGCTGTTTGAAAGCAGGAGCTATGATTTTTATTTCTGCATCCCAAACCCTTAGTCTGTAATATGAGTTCAGACATATTTATGGAACACTGTACATCCAAGGCTCAAAATGCATTTTACATGATTTAGAAATTATTAAAAATAAACTTTAACTGCTTGAGAATTTTTATTTATTTATTTATTTTGAATTAGGCTGATTTTTAATTTAGAGCAGTGAGTTCATAGATCAAGTTAGAGAACTTGTTGATTTACATTTTTTTTTTTATTTCAAGGAAATATGAGAGTACAAACATTTTGGTTGCATTTTATAGTTTCGCCTTTCCCCAGCAAAGGTTAGATGTATGCCCTTCCCCTCCACAATGTTCGACACTTCCCTCAGATGTGGGTCTACCCCCCAACCTCTGAATCCCTGGTAAACACCACCACCATTTGAGCATCATAGTGTTAATCAGTCAGTACCAATTTGATGGCAAGTACATGTGAAGCCCATTTTTCTGATCTTGTGTCACCTCACTTTGATAATGGGCTTAAGCCTAATCCAGGGTAATATAAGCAATGCTAGCTCACTGTCTTTTCTTAGAATTGAGCAATATTCCATTGTAAACGTATACCAAATTTTAATAATCCACTCATGAATTGACGGGCACTTGGGTTGTTTCCATGTCTTTGCAATAGTGGATTGTGCTGCCATAAACAGAATCATTTGGCAATAGACAAGAGGATCCAGATGGAACACGGGTTTTAACTTTCCAGCACACACTGGGTCAGTTGCAGTTACTCAAGGACCCTGAAGCAGGCTTGTTGCCTGTCTTCTGGGAGGTCAGTAGCGTTGGGAGACCAAGGTCTGTTTCCATTACTTTGCATCATCTAACTACACCACTTCAGTTCATTTATGTATCTTCTCCTTGCCTTAATTTACTTATTTGTACAATGAATGTATTTCCTTCTGCCACTGTCTCAGAGATTTTTAAGTACTTCAAAAACATGTGTGAATGCCTAGAACATAAAGTATTAACCTCAAATTTACATTTCCAGTTAGATGATATATTTATAAATAAAAACAAAAATCACTACTTTGTTTGAATACCTGGGTGCAAAGGTTGCTTGGTGACCATTTTTGTTTAGAACAGTAATTCTCAAACCTTAGGATGCATCGGAATCACTCGAAGGACATGACGAGACACACATATTTAGGCCCCGCCTTCACAGTTTCTGATTCCACAGGTGTGTGATGAGACCTGAGAATTTGCATTTCTAACAGGTTCTCAGGTCATGCTCATCTGCTGGACTGGAGGCCACACTTTGAAAACCATGGGTATAGAATATGGCTCTGAATAGTTAGTAGAGTGTCATTCATTGAGTTTTATGTAGTCAAGACATTCTTGAGCCACTGGTCTAGACAACTACCTCAAAAGGCAAGCCTTTGTTAAGCCAGAAGACATTCAAGAAGCTGTGAATGAACTTGTTGTGAATTCTTTGCCATTATAAGGCTAAAAAAATAACTATTCAAATAATGTGTCAGTAATAACATGTTCACAATTTTAAATAACGCACTCTTCACAGTTACTCCTCTTATAAAACATAGTAATAAAGTTGAACAAAGAAAATCACGTGAAAAGCTGGAGTATTGATTACTCAATTAAGATAACATTATATTACACAAGGTATTGCCTTGTGTGAGAGCTCTCCTACTTGCTAATGAATAACAGACTCTGTAGAAATTAGAGCCAACTATAAGATTTCAGAGCTCTGGCATGAGTTAATGGCTTAATGTAATCCTAACATCAATAGCGTCAGCAGTCATATTTTCTGCTTAGTATGTGAGGTGTCTGCTACAGAGTCCCCATTAACTGTAATTGAAGTTGTACAGCTGATTTCCCTTCTGCACAATAATTCTATAAATCTCCCCCTAAGTGGCAATATATCTTACCTTAACACACTTGTCGTTTTAAAAGGGAAGTACAAGATCCAGAGATAAATTTTAAACAAGAAGAAAACTATCTGATTTGTCTTAAATTTGCAATGTTTACCAAAGTAGAATCAATTTCAAACTAAGCTGAGAGTTTAATATGACTTGAGACATTGATTTAATATATACAGATTATTCACCTAATATCTGTTAAAAAGTCTTGTCATATATTATTATGACATATATGTGTTAATATATGAAACAAGTTGATCTGCTTTAATACAAATCAATTTTTTCATGATATTAATTGCTATTTCTACATTTGAAGATTGCCTTGCCAGTAATGTTATTTTAATCTAATCCATTTTGAATTAATGCATTAATATTTTATTAATTCTCAAATACAAAAAAACATGCCAGAAAATTTATTTTCTACACCTAATAAAAAACTGTTATTATTTTTGAGTGCTCATTTGGTGTCTTAGATGTATTATTTCATCTAAACCTCTCAATAAACCCCAAATGATTTGCCCAGAGCTTCACCAGTAAGTGAGGATCACTTAAAGCAAGGATCAAACAAGAGAAGTCTGAACACAGAATCCATGCTCTTAATGACCACTCCCATGCTGCACCTAAAAATTAGTTAAGATTCTAAAATCTAGCAAAATTATATTTTTTTTCTTGAGTATAAGTGGATTTCTTTGAACTAATAAATAGATGCATTATTTCTAGGTGGCAAGATGTTTCAATGAGGGTAGTATATGGGTGAAAGTTTTTTTTCCTGCTGGTAACTCAGGTTCCAGAAGCTATCAACATTTCAAATTTATTGGAGTATTGATATTAACACTGCAGCAAGTTCATGTTATGACATCTCTAAAATAAAATGTAAAAGATAATATAAAAATTCTCATATAAGAGTTCTAGAGCCAGGGTATGCCAGGCTATTAAATAAGTTCTTTATTTACTTCCCACTTGGTTAGCTGTAAACTGGCACTAAGTAGGCTATCCAAGTTGTTTTTCATCTAGAAATTACTTCAGGTCACTGGGCAGATGGACTATACTCTAAATTCAGAGTTGAAATTTAGAGGCCCATAGACCAAATTGGCCCTCAGACCTGTTTTGTTTGTTTGTTTTCACAGGGCTTAAAAGAATTTGAAATTTGAAAATAAATGTTTTTAGGTAAGGTGCTCCCTTTCTGTCTCAACCCAGATCCATTACTTCCTATTTGAGCTGACTACCTCACACATTGAAATATTATGCTTATTCTCTCTAAGGCCATCTGATTTGTAACTCTTGTCTTTAATATTAGTTTTGTTTCTAATGCTCAGGTCCACTCAGGAGTACTATGAAAATAGGCAAAAATAACAGTTTTGTAAAAGAAGAGGTGAAATTAAAGGACCTTTATCATTTCTCTACTTCCAAATTATTGTTAAGCAAAGAAATTATTACATAGCAACGCTTCTGGAAGTGAAGAGTGAGAAGTTTCACATATTTACCTGACAAGTATCTATTCCTCCTTCTTCATAGCCTGCACATATCATATTTTCAGTAATGTTATATTCTGGCATTTGTTGTTGGCATTTCTCATTTGATAGAAGAGGAACATCAGCTTCTTGCAATACGTTTGCAGTAGGACCTGCTCAAAATGGATATTGCAGTCAGACAGTCAGAAGTGATCAACATGCATCCTTGAATGAGCCACCATCAGTCTTATTTATTCCAACATTTCACTCTCATCAAGTACTGTGTGTATGTATAATGGAACTAAATACTAAACTTTGCACTTTAAAGCATATAATAAGGCTCATCTGTAGTTTTGCCAAATGGATAACAGTAAAGGACTTCTTTCTTCTTCAAGGGCTACTAGAAATGGTGGATTAGACTAGATAATCTTTGAGCATCTTTAGTAAGTTTAAACAGTTACAGTACTGCTCATGGAAAAAAAAAAAGCCCACCCACACAAAGAGTTTCATTCATGGAAATTAGCAATGGCTCAGAAATCCAGAAGTGCTTTTCATTTGGCACCTGAAAAGGTGCACCCTCCCATGTAATGTCATTCAGCGTCTTTGTGGTGCTGTGTGAGTGAGCAGGTGCACACTGAACAGAGCACAAAGCTCGGATGAACTGTGCCCTAGTCTAGGGACAATCAGCTTGTCATCCACATGCAGGTGAAGAGAAAAGAGGTACTTATTAAGCAGAGTGTACATCCCTCTTTTTTACAAAATGATTCATCCACTGGAAGTGTGAATCTCTGTTTACTGAAATACTAATCCCAAGAGGGATGTGAAACAAGCAGGTGTCTAGTGCCCAAGAGAAGGTATATGATAAGCACTTTGTAATAATTAGCATTTCTATTTGGTTCCTCAGGAGAGGCAGAAAGTTGAGGATAATTTAGTACGTTTGACAGTCTGTGTTGTTGCAAAACTGGGTGTGACCTCATTTCCATCTAGGTTTAATGTATTCACTAAAAACACTGAAGAAGCAAAAGTGTGTGTGTGTGTGTGTGTGTTTAGGTTCAAAGCAGTATATATATGACTCAGTGATGTGTTGGTAAATGTGTAACAATTGAATCTCCAGAAAAAGTGAAAGCCCCAATGTGTCTTCTTTTCATTTGACTGGTATAAACACTCCCATCATGCCAATTTCAAGGTACCAGCATGACAGTGAACATGGAATGAATATTATTGGACAACGTTCAAGTCTGGCAATGGACTGAGTTAAGAAAATGAATTGGAGAGACAGAAATGGATGATAAAATTCACCATCTCACTCTTATGCATCCTATGAAGATCAAGTTGGGCTGATAGATTTTAGTTTTACAATAAGAACCAAAGCTATTTTTGCTGTTTGTCAAGGAATTCAACATTTGTTTGGTAGACAATAAAACTCTTTGGTAAATGAAAATTTGAGCAGTGTCCTTTTATTTAATATTTATTTCCCAACATGATTTGCTATAATAATAAATGAGAATATTTACACACACACACACCCCATACACTTCAGTAATTTTAAGTTTACTGATTGGCTTAATTTACCCAACTAATATCACCTCATTTATTCCTAGTGAACAATAAGTTCATGGTTTTCCTAACTAATTAATTAGTGTGATATACTCAAAAGATGGGAAGCTGGGACTTTGTGAAAATAAATATATGGTAATAATAAGGCAAAGTCCATAAAATTATCAAAATTGCCATAACTCAAGAAATATTTAAACATGACCTTGTCATTTATTCCTAAATGAAATTCATTTTGGATAGTCTTTTTTTCCCTGGCTCCATAGCCTTCTTAGAGACTTTTTAAAGTCAATTAAATGTACATCTTTAGTAACAATAAGTAAATGTTAGCTACATTTACTCAGCTTAAAAAACAAAACAAAAGATACATTTCCTATGGAATAAAGAGGCTGAAATTTTGTTATTGGATAATTTGGTTTTTGAAGAGTCTACATTGTGGTCATAAAATGTCTTTTAGATTGAAGTCTGAAAGAGAAAAATATCTATCTAGGAATCATTTTTACTATGTAAATTTCAAATTCAATAAATCATGACATTTTTCAAGTGGAAGAAATATAAGAATATATAGTCTTTGACTTCAATACACTTAATGGACAGCAGACATGAGGCATCTTCAGCAGCATAATGTCATTGCTGTGGTAAACCTTTGTCAGAATCATCAGGGAATCATTGACTTAGAACTTTGTGAGAAAAGATCTTTGAGTTGTGAGTACATTAATTCTGAGACTCTGAACCTGTCCACAAGATTCTGCACATTTTTCATCTCAAATACAATTAGGACTTTTAAACATCATGGCTATAATTTGTTGTAACTATAGAGCTCGGGTCCTCCTACTAGACTACGGTGCCCTTCTTCTTTGCTTTATTATTAATGAGTGGCCAAAACTCAGCCCTGGATGGAGTATTCCTATAAGGGATTTCATAGCCAATGAATCTTGTGGTTAAATTTAGAGGATATGAAGTATTGGAATACACTTTCTAAAAAATATATCATGTTTGAGTATTTTTCATACACATAACTTTTGTGTTTGGAAACATGCTATTAAATGATGCTGGGAGGTGAATAGTATTTCAATTTATAGTCTTCAATGTAAAAATTCATGCCATATCTAAGTCTTCTTGTCAGTAAAGGATATTGAAGCTAGAAGGGATTCCCTTCTGACTTTAAGGAATGTGAGTGTGAGGCCTTTACATTATAAATAGATTTATTGATTTTAGGAAATGTGTCAGGTAATAATTTGGCTTTTGATGAAACTTATGTGTTCTATAAAAATGAATTTTTTGTTAACTGTGGTCATATTTATTTTAATTGATATACCTTTTCCCTTTATCAGAGTGTTTATAAAACTAAAATTAGATATTAAGTTTGGGAGACACTTGAATTCCCCTTTAAAATGATTATAGTTTTATAATATGCTCTATACAATGTGGAGAAATTTTTAAAGACTATAAAAAATACAACATATAAACATCAGCCTGATAGTGCCTTTAGGAGATACTCCAAAAAATAATATTATGTTGTAAAAGTTGCAAAAATGTTAAAAATATTCACAGGATAGTGAAATAGAATACATTTTACTAGTAGACCTTTTATTTCTTTTGAGTCTGATAATTTACCTTGATGTACAACTCTCCCCCAGCCAGCAATAGAACATTTCCTTCCTGGAGAAAAAACTTGATTTTCTTCTGGTAAACAAATAGGTTGTATATAGTCTGGAAAAACAAACAAAACAAAACAATCAAATAAGCGAACAAAAAACAAGAAAAGACATACATGCATTTCTAACCAGTTTTAAAAAATCAATCATCTTCAACATTTAATTTAAAAATCTTATATTTTTGTTTTATCCTGTGTGAACAATTTTAGACATCAATCTTAGGTGAAAGAAGCATTTCAGAGCAGCACTTCTTTGACAATGGATTAGTACCTCTGATGGCCTTTTAGGGTCTTCTACGAAGTCTCTTAATTACTTTTCTATGGTATAAATAATGTCTTATTCTGGAGTTAATTGTTTATATTTTATTTTTAAATAATCATGGTACTCAATAGAAAGTCATGTCAGTTCTGTGAAAATCTTGATAAGGCCGATTTTCAGGATTAATTAAGAGAAATTTGGGCAAACATTCTGAGGCTTTTTGATTTTCCCGAATTATCTCTGTGTTATAAAAGCTTTTAGGCAGTTGTTTTATTGGACACCTATGGAAACATTAACATTGACCACTGACTTTTAAAGCCTTTCTGCATTAATTTACAAGCTACCTGACATTATTAAGCACCCACTACAAGTAAGACTCAGGCAGACACAAAAATGAATAGGATACAGTGTCTACCCTAATGATCATGGCTATACAACTAACCACAGTAATAATCTTCCTTTGATAAGTGCTGTAATACGTGAATAGATCAAATCCCCTGTGAGCAAAGAGATGGAAGTACTTCCTCCTAACTGGGCACTAGAAAAGACTTCAGAGTAAAGGTTAAGACTGAGCAGAGCCCTTCAAGATAAAGTTTACTTTATCTAGTGATTTTTTTTTGTACATTTTTCAAGCATTTAGAGAAAGTTTTTAATTTGTCACTCAACAATATTACTGAATCTCCTCTAAAAAACTTTATTTATGAATAACCTAATTCTTACTCCCGTTACCCTTAGAACATAGGCTCTTCTCCTAGTTTATTGGAAGATGGAACTGCTTTTCTTGTACAAGAGAAGTAGAGAAGGCATGCCTAATAACATGACCTATTTCTCTGTGCTGCTCCTTTGAGTTTACTCTTGCAGTGGACTCTCTGAGTTTTATTTTATTAGTTCTTTTTAGAAAGTTGAATTTAAACATCTTGATGAAAGAAATTTAATATATTATTTCCCTCTGTTCCCCTCCATTGAAGTTATAAAGAGGGGATGTTTAATGGGTACAAAAACACAGTTAGCTAGAAGAAATAAGACCTAGTGTTCAGTAGCACAACAGGATAGCTGATGGTTAGCAATAATTTATTATTGTATCAAAATAGCAAAAAAAGTAGAATTGAAATGCTCCTAACACAAAGAAATGATAAATGCTTGAAGTGATGGATACCCCAATTACCCTGATTTGATCATTATACATTGTATGCTTATATCAAAATATCACATGTACTCATAAATATGCACAACTACTATGTATCCATAACAATTAAAAGTAATGTGATGATTTATGAAACAAATTATTCAACTTTTATAAATTAATACATTTATAATGATATTTCACATCTAATTTTGAATTAATTTGATAACTAAAAGTGATTTATTTTACCTGTGTAATTCACTTTTAATTCAAGATGCATCATTGCAATGTCATTGTCCTTTCTTTGTTTACTGTAAAGTGGGTTTATGACAATTTGATCAATCGACAGAGCGACTATTTGAGGAGAAGTCAGATTCGATGTCGTATGCAGGCCTAGGATTGCTGTCCACTTGGATGGCTCTAAATTCCTCCTGAAGATTGTAATAAAGAAGTATGAGATGTTCTCCATCCAAAGAAGCTCACGTTTTAGGTGTCCAAAATAGAAATTTCAAAATTATAGGTTTCCATCCTAACATATTTCTTCAATTCTTCTGTAAAAATAGTCATTAAATTTATATTTTTCTGATCAGATCAGGAGTCTTCAAACTTTTTAAACAGGGGGCCTGTTCACTGTCCCTCAGACCATTGGAGGGCTGGACTATAGTTTAAAAAAAAACTATGAACACTGTACATATCTTATTTTGAAGTAAAAAAACAAACAGGCAAAAACACCCGTATGTGGCCCACAGGCGGTAGTTTGAGGACACCTGGATCAGATCATACAGGAAGCCTTAATTAGGCTAATCTCTACCACTTCTCTTAAGCTATCTTTTGATCTTTAGTTTTAGGTAGATTGTGGTTTTCAACTCTGGCTGCACATTAGTATCACCTGTAGTGCTTTTAAATAATACTGATACCTACTTACCTCATCCACCAGTCCTAGTTTAATGAGTCTAGAATGGACTACTTGACAATTTAAAAACTAATTTTTAAATTAAAACTCCAAGTTTATGGAAATATATGCCTAGATTTGAGAACCTCTGCATTAGGTCATATTCCACTGTGGAAATGGTATCCTAGTCCAGGACTTCTTCATAGAACTGAAGCAACTATAGTAGTAAAAGAAGGACATTCAGAAGCATTTTCCCATTTAGGGGATCTCCTAATTCACACAGAGCTAAGGTAAGCAGTAAAACTTATTATGATGCTTATAGCTTAATATATGAACTTGAATAATTTCCATATATAATGTTGGTCATTGATAATACACTGGTAAAGGATAATACTTGCGTTATAAAATAGATTAAAATGGGTAGCCTGTTATCATTTGAAAGTGTGCAAGGACTTCTAAATGGGCTATTGGCTTGCAATATCTTCAGGCCAAGGAATTACCAGCTGGATTTAAGCCAATTAAGCCATATTCACAATGAATTCAAAATTCAATGACTACAATTGATCAAATTCTTATTCAATAGGCAGAACTATTGATTCAATTCTTAACAGTTGCAAATGCTTAGTTTAAAGTGGTATTTAAAATTTTTAAATCCAAGTCACCTACAAATGTATAAAGAATATGAAGTTATTTTACATCTATCTGTCTATCTTTTCATCTATGTATTCATCTCTTTGTTTTATTTCCAAATTATAATGTTTGGTCAAGGAACAGTCATCCACAAAGCCAATGAACACCCAAGTATCCAGTAAGCATCCACTGACAATCAGATTGCATTAAAACTTGATAAAATGCATTTAAGTGCTTTCTAGCAACAAAATAACTCCCATCTGTGAAGAATCTACTTGGTGTCAAGTATAGTACCAAGGACATTGACTACATCATCTCATTTAGTCTTTACCGTAGTGCTATGAATTTCACAATCAGAATAAACTGAGTGCTGATTGTTTAAATCATAGAGGGGACACTTGACCTGGGACTATCTGACTTTAGAGCCTGTATTTGCTTCAGCGTACTGGGGTGCCTCATACAGCTATGGGCACGGTTCCGTGGGTGGGGCTGAGGACAGGAAGAGAGACTGGGGGTAGTGGGCAGGAGGCCTTATTGTTGGGTTATGTGAACCCAGGTAGGGGAGGAGGTCTCTGGTCCTAGTGATTGGTGATAGCTCCTTAACCACTTCAGTAAGAGTGTCGACTATAGTTGATAGCCACAGATGAACATGCACAGCCGAGCGTCGACTTTAGTGACAGCCAACAGCTTTTACTTTTACAGCTTTTATCTCTGCAGTTGCAGTGTGTACGTTCAGCTAATAAGTTACTACGAATCTGTGACCTTTTAACAAGTCCTTAGTGGGAGTTATTATAGTTCTTTTCCTAAAGCGGCCTGTAAAGTAAAACAAACTTTCAGTCCTTTAAAGCTTTCCTCATCACACAAGAGCAAAACGGATTCGTTGTCAACGCACAACACAAACTATCGTGTGGACTATGAGTGCCGGCTGTGGGCAAGGTTTCGCTGCCAGTGAGCGCCATACCAAAGTGGTTAAGCGGCCTAGATGCTGAGCCAGGGTGTTATTACGAAGCTCTAGAGGCCCAGAAATCCTTCCTGATTTCCCTTCTATAGGTCAGAGGAATCAGTACTTTGGCTGTGCTTGGCATACTGATAATTTCAGACATTCTGACTGTACCCCAGTCTCACTATACCCTCATACTCTCCTGTCTACCTTGGCCTAAACAGGAAGAGTAAATAGAGTGAAATCTCTTCCCTGGAATCCTATCTCTGAACTTCTTTCTCTATCATATGTTAAGTATATTTCCTAAAGCTTAACTAGTCATAGTTTTCACTTGATTAGCCTGCCTGTTAAGACCAACAGGTAATAGGCGGTTACTTTATTTTAAGAACTGTATTTTTTTACTCAACATTTAATTTATATATTTATTCAATACTTATAAAAAATAATCTTAAAACTGCTATACCATGTGTTTTCTATTTTGTATTTCATCATATGTATTTGTGTATTTATATTATTTTTATATATATGTATTTATATGTATATATGTATTTTATGTATATATGTATATGTATATATGTGTTTATATTTATTTTTATTTATATGTATTTAATGTATTTATATTATGTTTTTCTTTATACACAATGTTTTATATTAATATTCATAAATTTATATATGTACATAAATTATCTATGTAAATAATAGTTACATTAGTGATACAACTGTTCAATATTATCAGTATTTGCTCAAAGAATAAATGAGATGATTATATAGATTCTAATTTGAAGTTAACAAAGTACATATCACTATTAAAAAAGACAGGATTGTCCTTTAAATGTTTTCTACATATTTTATATTTAGAATCTATCACATAAAAGTTCAGAAAGGTATATACAGTTTACTTGCAATAGATTTGAATAAATGTTAAATTAAGGCAATTCAAAAAAGTAGCTGAACTCCCAAATTCTTGTCTTTTTTATGTACTGTGCTCCATCTGAGAATTAACAAATATAATTACTGATATGAGAGAGCTTGTAGCTAACACAAAGTTTAATAATCACCATTTCCTGTTGTTATTTTAAGGTCTTTAGTAGAAAACCAATACATGAACCATGGACTGTGAAGATTAAATATACATGCTTCAAACTATTAGTCTAATTAAATACATGTGAATCTGACACATTCTTGATAATTTCCAAAATTGTTATTATGCTGCATGGAAAATAGCCTCTTTTTCATGTTTTTATTACTCCAGCATCTATAAGTAGCACCATGGGTAGGAAAAATCCCTCAAATATGTATTATTTACATTTCTCTCTCAAGTCCTGTTTCACAATCCTTTCTGTGTCTGTGCACTTAACTTCCCCAATATAAAAACAAACGAGCATAAGCACCACTAGTACTAATATTTAGCAATTTCAGAGCCTTTTTTTTTTTGGTGGAAAATGACTAGAGAATACAGAAGTTATAACCAATGGTTCTCAAATTTTATGAATCATGTGAGAAATTTGCTAAAAATTTAGATTCCTAGTTTTCATTTCCAGAGATTCAAATTTAGAAGGTTGGAGTGGGACCCAAGAATCTGTACTGTGTAATCACTGTTGGGATATTGAGCAATGCAATAACCTTCCTAGCTTTCTCATTTACCCAAAGCTGAAGGATGGGGAAGAAAGGCTTCTGAGAAATCATTTTAAATGAAAAGGGGAACTTATTATGTCTTTAAAATCTTCTTGTCTCAAAGCATCTACATTCTAGTAAAGAAAAGAAGAGCTAGCAGACAGAAGATAGGTGGGCATGGAAGGAGAGAATCCCTTAAGATAGGTACGCCCAAGTCCAACAAAGGCTAACAATGGCAGAAATAGGGCATCTTTAGTTTGGGCAGGAGAGGTTGGCTGAATTTCTGATACATTTCACCCTCATAAGATCTTGTGTGCCCAATAGAATAAGCAGAAAGAGAGTGATGGGAGAAAGGCTTTTATTTTGGATGGAGTGGTTGGAGATAGCATCACTGAACAATTGGCAATTTAATGAACATCCTAATAAATGAAGGAGAAAGTTGAACAATTTGTGGGGTGGTAATAGCAAACTCTAATGCACTGGGGTAGGCTTATTCTAGAAGTCCTGCTGCTGTTGCCCAGGAAGTCATTGGCCAGAGTGGCAAGAACAAGACTGGAGATGTAGATGGGTCCCTGGTGAGGACACAGTAGGCCACGGTAAATGGGATGAGAGACCATTTGGAGGCTGAAGATCGGTATTATCTAGTCAGGATGCTGTGTGAAGATGACACTGTTGAGTGCAGCAAGAGGGAATTTGGGAGACCAGTTAGAAAGAGACAACAGTGGTCCTGGGATCATGGCTGAGGATCTCATTAGTAAGTTCTGTCGGTTAGATTCATCTGAATTTACTAATGATCACAGACAAGGAGTAAGAAAAAGAGAAGAATTAAGAACTTAAGTATAAGCAACAGGGTGAGTGTTTATAGCATTGACTGAGATGTGGGAAACAGAAAGAAACAGCATTGGAAAAGGAATAGAAGTTCTGATTATTATATATTAAATTTGAAACTTCCTATTAGACATTTAAGTTGCTATTGGCCAGTTGGCACGTGGGCATGTGAATCCAGATTTTAGAGAAGTCAAAAATTAAAATATAAGTTGGAAGTTTTCAGCATATTGGTGGTATTTAAAATCCCAGCAGTAGATAAGATCATTTATGGAGCCAGTGTAGATGGAGAAGAAGAGAATGGTGAAGGCAGAACCTCAGAGTATTCTAATAGAGTTTGCAGAGAAGAAAAAGCTGGGGGAATAAAAGATTGAGGACATTTTATGTCCTATATGATTGAACATGTGTTAATATCAGAATGAACTGCCTTTCTATTAATATTTTCTTCATATATTCATGGTTTGAAAAGATATGATATTGCTATCATTGACCTATAAAAGGTACATATGTAAAGTAGATAATTAAAAGATATCACTAATATTACTGCAAGCCAGGTTGACAGAAAGCATACATTCTGCAGGAACATAAAATGAAGGAATTTACCAAACCAAGGTTAATATAGCAAGCTTGCTATCTTACTAAGACCTATCCATGTGCAATGGGAAACATGGAAACTTTACCTAAAATACCTTTTATTTGCAACAGAGTTAGGATATAGATGTTACCCATCCATGATATGCCAAGGCAGAGAATATGTGTAGGTAAAGGTTAAAAGCCATGTTTAGCAGGGGATGGAAAATTGCCTGCTATAGATAGATACTTGTTATGATATGATTGAAAACAGATTAATATGTAATTATAAGAAGGCAGCAAAATCAAGAGGGTGTACTTTAGATATGGGACAGGCTGCAATTTAGTCACCTAGATATTCGTTCAAGGCATAGAATCAGAAAGAACTTCACATGTAGATGGGGCAGTGCCTCAGATAGCTCCTCTGGAGACTAGCCAGTTGGCCAACCTGAGATCTGGGGGAAGTTTCTTATTCTCCAGATTCTTAGGATTATGCATTCAAGTCACCTTGCACTCTCGCATGATGAGTATTTCGGCATAGGCTCAATCCTTTAATGCTCATCCTCGTTGGCTTTTTCTATCTCCCTTAAAATTTTCACAATCCTCTGTGTCTGACAATTTGTCTGTATTTACCCAAGAACTGTCATTGTTTGTGTTGGTAGGGATAGTTATTTCTTTTAACCTTATTAACTTAACTATGGCTGCCTCTTCCATGCCTGAGCACGCTCGGTCCTTTCCTCAGAGACTCAGGATGCTTGCTGCAGAGAGGCTTGCTCTAACCCTCACTGGTAAGGTCGTGCTCTGGTGACCTCTCCCACTCAGTTAGGGGCAGAAAACCAGTCCTAGGTCACACTCATAAATCTCCTATGAGGAAGCTCACTTTTTTTTCTGACTTAATTCAGAATGGCTGGAATGTGACTGTCTAAAGAGGTGCCTTCTCTCATGTGGAAGTACTTGTACCCCCATAATACACTAAGAAATAAAAAAAAAAAGAACAGAGAACTAACATTTGTTTGGACCCAAGATCACTTATTCCTCCCACCTTCCCCCCGCCACCTCCCCTCATTCTCCTCCACCCACTATCTTCTCTCCTGCAGCTGCTTCTAGAGAGAGAAAATAAATCCTAAAATTCTATATATATTTTGTCTTATTATATTATAAAAACAGAGTTAGATTGGTTGATATTAGGTCTAAATTTTAGTTACAGGTAGCATCAAAACAGATCTGACTTGAGAACTAAGAAAACACTTTTATTCTAATCACAAAGTGCTCATACATGAACTTCTAGAGCACAATATATTCATAATGTGAGAGCTACTTATGCATCCTTCTTAAAATTGAACATTTGCTAACAATAAATATTGAACTGATTGAATGGTAGCCAGCACAATTTATATATTAAATACTAATTTCACACTCTTAAAAATACTTACCTTGTGAATAGGTAAAAATTTCAATTTTTATGTACGCAGGAAACAAAATACTTGATATAAGTATCTAATGGAGAATACTTTTTAAAATTGAACTGTCTCTATTTCTATACATGATTCTAATGGGAAAATCATTGGAAAGTTTATAATGTCATAAACAGCAGGAAAGCTTCCCTGGTGGGATGTTTTTGTGAGGCCCCAGAAATGGAATACTCACCCATACACGCAGTGTGCGGCAGACACCAGCCAGTCACTGCTGACAAGAGATGCACCACAGACCAGTATGCCATTGTAATACAGAGCGACAAGCCAGGGCCACGCCCCTTCTTTGGCATCACTTCCTCCAACAATCTTTGGGGTGACTTCCTGTGCCACCATTTTTTTCCCACAAGCTATTAAAATAATTGAAGAAAGAACATCTATTTTATTTTGGTGGATTTCTTCTGACCATTAAAACAGAATGGTGCCAACATAAGTTCAGATAACATGAAAACTCTATTTACTCAGAATTTTCAATCGAAAGCTTGAAGGAGAACGAGGCAAAATATTTACTTACATCTATGGTTACATTGCAACAGAATCAGGAAATCATGTAAACACTGTTGACTGTAATAGAAGAACAATTACATTTCAAAAATTGTTCATTTCATGTTTTAAAATAAAACATAGCATAGGTCATCCTACCTTTATTTTTTAGTAAAATAGACTTGTTAATTTAACTATTATATACAAAATTCAAAGAGACTGAAAGGCACAGTAGAAAAACTCCCAGTTTAAAATCAAACAGAGTCTATTTTGCATCCTTGCTCTACCACCTTCCCTTCGTGCAATTTTGGGTAAGTTGCTCAATATCCCTCAGACTCAGTTTCCTCCTTCACCAAATGGGGGTGATAGTCCTTTATTGGAACTTTGTGAGAATGAAAAAAAATATTTGCAATGTCATTATTATGCAACTTTTACACAATGCGCAGTTGATAAATGATAGATATTGCTATTTTGCTTGAAGGAACCTTGGATTTCATAATTCTATAATACAGAGTATGCTTCAGCATTGATAACCCCACAGCTATTCAGTGCACAGCAGTGTGAGAGCAGCTGTATGCTTCGTTCAAGTTCAATGAATAGGAGATCCTCCATTCAAGGGAGGCAGACACGTAAAAAGCAAATATAAAAGAAATTCTAAGTATGAATTATTGAAAAACTCGTTATCTACTTAAAAGTTTAGATACCGATTTTTTTCAAAGTGAATTCTAACAAAAATTAAAATAAAAAATGAAAAATAACAAAAATTAAACAAATTTGTTTTACACTGTGTTATATGTATTAACCACTAGAGATCAGTATAACACAAGGAATTAAAGTACTTGCTCAGATTTATTTCCTTATGCAGATATTGGTCACATTAAAAACACACACATAATTTTAATGATTTATAAATATATTAAGTACATCTAATTGTGCATGTTATTGGGTGTTTGAACTTTTAGGGAAAAAGAAAGCAAACTAAAAGAAAACAAAAATACAAAATAAGACCTAAAACCTATATGTCCAATCAAGTTCATCTTTCTAAGGTATTATTAATGGTCTTAGAAATATTAAGCAATACTAATGCTCTGTGGTATGTATAAAACTGATTAATTTTTTTTTATCAAGCACAGAAAAGTTTCTGGTTAGCTCAATAGGGAATGAGAAAATTTAATTGAACTTAGCATCTCTTTCTCCATGCATTTTCGTTAATCAAAATTTTTATACATGAACACACAAATACGGTGTCTCAGGTAGAGGGGGTAAGTTGTTTAATCAGTAAACAGAATAAGCAGTGAATCCATACTTTGTCCAAATATATTTACACAAATTGGAGACAAATGGAATTACTTCCTGGCTTTTGGTCTGGAAGTCAGAGCTAGGTTAGTCTTCTGTTCAGGAAGAATGACAATGTCACAATCCTGTGTCTTTATCTCAGCCCAGTGAGATAAAGAGTCTAAATGGGTGGGTTTATAGCTACCATACTGACAAAAAGGAATTCATTTCCCTCCAATTTATGCCCAATAATATGGCCTTTTTCTTGTTGAAAAGTCCTTTTTTTTTCCTTGCCTTCTCCTTTCCAGAGTGCAATTTAAAGTGGGCTGCTGAGGGTAAGAATACAGAAAGGTATGGAATTAAAACTTATCAAATTCCTAGTAGTGTGCCAGACAATTCCATATACAATACTTCATTTGACCATAAATGAGGGTTAGACAATGTTATCAGATACGATCAAATAGATACTGTTTGAGATTACCTGAAGAATAATACATCAAATAACTTTCAAGATTATATGGCTAGTCTGTGGAAGCATTCAAGTATGACTAGGCTCCAAAACCTACCTTATTTCAATCCATGTATGACTAGTCTAAGAATATATCTTAGGACCCACCTGGGTGTTAGTATTAAGCTGCCATCAGGTGCTGTGCTCAGTTTAACAAATGGTCCACCTTTGGTTGAGAAGATTGGCGTCGATAAGTTTCCACTTCTAGGAAAAAAGGACATATAGATTAAAGAAAAACACAAACAAACAAACTTAAGCTACATTTTACATTTTTATTTCTTTAATGCTGTGGACATTGCAAGAAATTATGAGATTCCATACAAAGAGATTAACATTTTAATATAAAACTTCAAATGTTTTCCTATCTAAAGGATGATGCAAATCACTAGAATTACCCATAATGACTTATAATTTTAAAATTTCATAATCCTCTAGTCTTTTGTTTGCATATTTATATGTTATTTTACAAAGTTAAAATCATTGTATATATCACTTGGCTATCTTATTTTTTAAAATTTTACTTTTCTGTGTTGTCCGATAGTTCCCATAATGACCAATTTGAATGACCATTTTGCAGAATTGCTGCACCATCATTTATTAAATCTTTCTCGTGTTGAATACAATTCATCTTTTAAAAATTGCATGTCCCCCAAGAACGCCATAGAAAGAAATTGTGGAACCTGGGATAAATAGGTCCAATGTTGGTCATACTAAAGAGAACAACACGAATTTGCTATCATCAAAAGAGAAGAAAGGGTGGGAAGGAATCATGGTATTCTTTTTTATTCCTTAGAAACATAAAAAACAACATCGAAAAAGAAAGATCTTCAGTGTTTATTTTTCAAAATTTTTTTTGTTCTTGATATTATTCTATTCAAAGGCTGACGAGCCTTAATTTAAATCAGAAGCCATGTGATAGCTCTAAAAGAGAAAGTATGTAGCCTGGATTTGTAAGTGTCAATTGGTGAACCATCATATGGTGGAGAAAGAGACACCTCCATGTGATAAAAGACAATTAAGCCCCAAGGCTTTCCTTTCTCTGAAAACCTGTTATACCCAATCTCTCCACTGTGAGCTTTAATTAAAGATTTCTCTTAATTAACCTAACACTCTTCCTTAGACTCAGCTAAGCTAAGGAGACCTTTAGCTCATTCCTCATTTTGTTTACTGCCTTTTATTTATTGCATGTTTTAATTTTCATGTAAAAATATGCCTTTAGGCTGGAAACATCTTGGTTCCTGCTACCTTCTATTGATTAGCCAGGTGATGATGTGGTTCCTAAATTTTGGAGTAGTGTGATGGACAAACCCATTGCCTCTTTAAAAGACCCTTTCCTATCTGTGTACAGGGAGTTTTCAAAGAGCACTCAAAGATGTTAATGATCAATTAGAAGAAAAGAACTCGATATGGTGATTCTTCACCCTTTCAATGCCTTGAATAAACTGAAAGTGTTTGTCTGGTACCTTTCATTTACTGAACAGAGAGCAGAGGCAATGGAAGCTCTATCTAATGTCTGAGAATTTAGCATTGTGCATGTTTATTTTATAAACATGTACAAGTGACTGAAGCACACAGAGCCATTACTACTCTTTTAATAAAGCCTGAAATGAATTTACCAAAAGAAAGATGAGCCTTGTTATTGTTAGAGATTAGCTATTTCCTAAATGTGGGCAAAAGAATCATCTCAAGTATTTATATAAAATCTATTTGTTATAGCTTAGAAAACAAAACAGGCATGAAAACTCCAAAGGGCAGCAGAGGATGTAGAAGGTCTGGAATGTACGAATGCAGTTTATATTTAAGGACCCACACATTTGGGAAAGACAGAATGTGGATGAAAATAGATCCTACAGGACTTTGAGTTTTAGCATTGGCACAGCTTCTGGTAAAATTCATCATAGCAATGTTGGCTTTTAAAAATATCAAGGTATGCTTCTCCAATTTGAATACTCTCTAGAAACGTCATTGGAATTGATTGGTTAGTGACCATCTTTGCTGCAGGGTATAATTGGTGGGTCATAATTATTCTCCAATCTCCCTTCTAGACAGCTCTCTTAACAGCATTTGTTAACATTCCCAGTCTCATCATTCTGCTGAATGCTGTCACGTGTTGAACATTCTCTTAGGTGGTTTTCTATGTCCCTGACTCTCCATGACATATTCTCAAAGTGTGTTCTCCAGACAAGCAGCATTAGCCTTAGGAGAGAGGGAATGTATCATATTAGACACACAAATACCCTAGTCTCACTCCAGGGTAACTTAATGAGAAACTCTGGAGGTGGGGGGTGGTCAGCAATCTGGTTTTAACAAGCTTTCCTGGTGATTTTGGTGCCCACTATAGTCAGGGAACCACTGTCACATCACTGTCATAGCCAAACAGGGTATCTTTTTTTTCTACCTGTACAAGTCTCTGCTTTTTGACTTCCAAAGTGACTTATAGTTACCTGATAATCTGTTTGAAGCACTCATGGCTAAATAGAAGGAATATCTTAAAAGGTACATTATTAAAAATATATTCCAGAGATGTAGATTTTAGACTCTTCAATTTTCTATAGCTATCCTCCTTTCCTATCCCTTGGATATCTCTTTTCAGACTGAGGTTGAAGGAATGCATTAATTTCTTAGAAAATTCAAATCAAAATCTGGACAAAAATTGATTGAAAAATATTGGGAAAATAATTATAAATCTTTTTTTTTATGTAGCCTATTTATTACACATTCACTACTAGCATGCACTACAGTGGAATTGGTGGTAAACCTTTTTTAAACATGTCTATTCTAGAAGGAAGGAAGACTAGAGATAAATCTTTGAAAATAATAGATATTAAGTAAATACCCAATTATTCTACCCTGGGATTCTCAAATCTGCTCCATGGTGGTATTTGCACTACCCAGTAGAGAAAATTAGAGATACACATAAACGTGGAAATAAGACACATACCATCTTATGAGATTATTTTTTCTACAGTTTTAGTTTTTAAATTTAATATGAGAAAGCAGATGTAGCTTGAAACCATGTTTTGTTAGTTATTTAGAATAGCTGGACAAAACACTGTTTCAAAAAAATGTATGCCAATCCAATATCTAATGGGTACAATGCACACTATTGTGGTTATGGGCATACTTATAATTTTGACTCAAATGGCACAAAAGAAATTCATGTAATCAAAATGTTTGTACCCCCGTAATAGTCTGAAATAAAAAATAAATTTAATGTGTACACACAAATTTATGAATTTCTCACACATTAATAACTAGTCTTTTGCACCAACTATTGTCATCAACAATCCTGTAGGGACTGTCAGAACATACAAACATTTTTCCAGGTGTCAGTGCTATATGCTAGAATTTGAGATTTGAGACAGACTACCTACCTGCATTTCAAATACTGCCAAGGCAAACTCATCCCTTTTCCAACTGAACACAATTTATTTTCATTTTTATTCACAGTAAACAGAATACAATGCAGTAGCAGAAATTTACAACAAACTATTCCTTATTTTAAGAAATGATGGACAATAAATAATACATTAAAATGTTCTTAGCAAAACAAAAGATTAACAACCCTATGTTAGTCATCATTTATTTTTGAAAGACAAAGTTCTTAGAACTACTGAAAAATTGAATTAAGAGAGAATGTATTATATTAAATTCTGCAAATCAAGCACTGCAACTGAGGCTTTTCCTGCATCAATTTCCTTTTCTTACAAGGAAATTAGCTGTTAATTTTTGGAGAGGCACTCTGTGAAGATTATGACTAGTGTGTACATTTTCTAAATCTTAAAAATGCCCCAGATCTGCAGATTTAGATAATTTCATCACACATTTATATAGCTCTTTGAAATCAGTAGAAGTTTAGTATCACATAGAAACACCATATACATTACCTTGTTGACATACTGATGCCTCCTGGCACCTTATTTCTAAACCTTTATTACCATTTTTATGGGTTATGCAACCTCAAAGGGACTTCAGGAGAACTTATATTCCATGTGAGAAAAGAAGCATATAGATGCAGCCATTACCATTTTTGAGGTCATAGATGGAATGTAAAAATATACACATAGTGAATCCTAGGGAGAGAAAAAAGGATGTCCCAAGGCTACTTGCATGGTATTAAATCTTCTGCCTCTCTTCTTAGGCCCTGGTTAGGTTTCTTCTCTTTTGTCTTGCTCCTCACACTGTATTTGCTGTGATAAGAATTCTTCCCTAGAGCAGGAGCTTAGGTATGGATGTTTTAAGCCTTTGGACACACTAAAGCTAAAAAAGAATAATAATGCATGCTGCAAATACTGCAGCAAGGCACTGTAGCTCATTTCACACCCCAAAAGGTTTAAGTAATGAATAGAGCCAGGTGGGATTAGTCTGAAAAGGCTTTTGGAGAAGGATGGACCTTTCTTTTCAGATTGGAGGGAAAGAAGGGGATTGATTCAGCAGGACAGAAGGCAGGGGAGAGTGTTTTTATAGGCAGGGGAATGGTGGATGGCAGGGATTCGCTGGCAAATCATCCCATGCAGAGAGTAAAGGCATGTGGGCAGGCAGATAAACATTCCTGAACTGCACAAATTTCAGTGACAATTGCTTATTCATTTACCACATTATAGCAATACACCTAGCCCTAGGATAGTTGCTAGCAAATAGGTAAGTTTAATTACTTTTAGATTTTCTGACCTCAACCCTTAAAAGTTGGTGATACTCAGAGCTAAAGAAATGCTAATAAAAATTATTTTAACCTCATCATTTTTCTGCCTTTGTGCAAGCTACATCATTAAGAGCAAGAGAGAAATTGATGGATGAGGTCAGTAACTATTCTCTTTTTATAGATATAATGGCGTTCCAAAAGAAACAGACCGCTAACATCTTCTTCCTACCAAAAACATGGCTAAGAGAAATGATTCTTCTAGGAGACTCTCACAGAGACAGGCTCTCTCCACAGACACCATCTTGGACATCTTGGGCAACATGAGCTACTTTAACATTAGTTCTTCAACTGCTGTTGGAGTTTAGTTAGTTAGTTTTGAGTAGGAGGCATATGACAATGCACATTCACATTTGCTATGAAGTTTTCTCAGTGCATATATTTTCATTGTATTGTGACTTTGTAAAGACATATATGTGAATTTCCCTTAGAATTTACTGTCAAGCAAAACCTGTCTTTCCTATGGAACTGGTAGCACATATCTTAGCTCATAATGAAAGCTGTA